AAAAAAACTGATATTAGGCTAACAGGTAACAAGGGTTAGGGTTAGGACTAAAAAAAAAATCATGAACTTTATTCTAAATGCATGCAAGTGCTTTTTTTGTTGTTGTTGTTTTTGTTTGCTCTGTGATGAACAAGACAACCTTTCCTTGGTATTTCTGCCTCTCATGTGAAAGCATATCTGTTTGAACACAGACCTCGTCATCAAACAGCCCTATCCATCACTCTCGCTATGCTGTCACCAAAAACACTGGAGTTTTCACACCCTTTCCTTTTTTCACAGCGGCTTACCTCCTGTTCTGCGCTCAGAACTATTTTTTGTTGTGAGAATGAAAAATGAGTGGAGAGTCTCTTGCTGTGAAGTGCATATGTGAAGAACAACCTAAGAGAAAGTTCTGTGGTCAGGTGTGAAAACCACTTGTGAAAACTTAGACATTAGATATTCATCGGCCAAAACTTGTCATTATAAATTAACCCTGTGAAGCCTGATCCGAGAAAATTCTAAATGTTTTAGCCTGAAGTTCTTATTTGGCCGAAGAAGCAAAAATGTGTTTTGTGTGAAATTACAGTGTAGTGTTCTGCCACTGGTTTCATGAGTATCGGATGTTTACAACAGGGTTTTGATCAAGACTTTTACTATGAAGTTATGCAAAAGTACTTAGATGCAAAAGATTTCAGAAACTGTATGTATCCAATATGAAACATATGGCATCATCGGGTTAAAGTGGCAATAATTTGTCTCAAAACTGTTGCAAAAATGTTTGGATGCATTGTTATTTTGCATAGTGGGCGACAAGAAGTGATGCAACAGTCACATTCGGAAACCAGTGGTTCTGATTCTATTAAAATGCAAGAGAATGTGTGTGTTAAGAGCTGTTTTCTGCTATTTTGCACCACACAAGGTAGCAATAATTCTTTAATCTAGCCATGCATGGAGTCATATTTAAAACTGTCATGTATTTTATACCCTATGTGACTTGGCTTACTGATGTTTGATGTCAGTTCACATTTTGACTCCAATTTCCAGCAGCTTCCATCTCTGTAAAGGTTTTCTTTTAATACAGTTACTGTGGTGCGATATGAACTCACTCACAGTTTCCCACAGTGCAAGATGGAGGCATGTTCACTTTCCCTCTGTGATGTTTTAGATCAGTGTTTTTTTCAGTTTTTTCAGGAATAGACTGCCTATAAAACATATTTTCAGACAGGCGTCTCTTAAAAATGTTATTTCCCAAGAAATAAAACAGTGGATTAATCAGTTATAAAAAGCTGTAACTGACAACTAAAGCCTATGCATTGACAAAAATAATTTTGAAACACAAGGTCCAAAGGGGCACAAAATATAAAAAACATTACTAATTTCAACTGGTCTCTCTTTAACTATTTGGGATCACATTAACAGAACTAGCTACATATAAAGTTTGTTGTTTTATTTTAATAGATTCAATTAAAGATAAATATATTTTTTATGCTAAAAAGAAGTCATCAATATGAATGTCCGTGCATATAGCTTACTATGCTTACAGGTGAATGCACCAGCCCTTTTCCGCAACTCTCTTAAGGATGCTATCAACCACCATTCAGGTTTCAAATGCTGGTGTCTTTTTACTGCAAATATATATCCAGTTCATTCATTTAGGTGAATAAATCTTGTACGATCTTGTACTTATACTTTCTTGAAAGATTTGCTGATTAGCTGTATTTAAAAGATTTCGCATGGATTGTGTTCCTTTATTCTTTTTTTTTCCCGATGTCATGAAGCCCCAGGAGTGCCTTAATTTTAGAACCCTTGGTTTAGATCATCTTGAAAAGGCCCCCTCTGGAGATGTGTTGTTTTTAGTTACCGTGGTGATTGAGCTTACATGTATTGAATGTGCAATATTAATAGCTTCTTCCTAAATTACCAACATAGATGAGGGACTGTTTTATTTGCATAATGACTTGCTTCTATTGAATATTTGGAATGATTTATGAGGAGAAATTCACTAAACAAGAAATCTTTAGCGGTAGGAAATACATTCACACATTAGGATGTGTCTTAAGGGAACTGGCTATTACTTATTGGCTGTAATGGATTCTGTAATGGCTCCAATGACACTTTGTATTGTCCCCTCCTGTAACTTATGAGCATATCCTATTCTGCTCTGATAGATTCAGCATCTTTCCTCCGGTGTCCTGGTCTCTTTTCCCATTTCTCTCCCACACTCTCTCCTCTTTAGTTTATGAGTTGCAGCTCATTGCGACCTCCGGTGTTACGGCTTCCCAAACATTAACGTACATACACACATCTCCACCGCATTGTTATTCTGGTGACGTACAACCTCCTGTTTCGACGACGATAAAAGACAAACATGCAGCTGTATTTTTACTGGACGTCTGTGCTTTAGAGTAGCCACACCGGCAGATCCACAGGGCTAGAACCCCTCAAAAAAATGCAAACAGTCCAGTAATAACAGCCTCTTAGATCCGACAATGAAACCATTTACGCACTGTAATAGCTGCGCCTTATGTCACTTAAAACATTTTTTTCTTACGAACAATGGCCTCTTTTTTCCATTCTTCAACATTTTTAAGTGTACTACAAAATCAAAAGGCCGACTTGTGGTTGGGGAAGACTGTGTGAAGGCGGGAATGCCTGATGGCTTTCGTGAATAACGCTTGCTATGATTGTAAAAACTCAAACTAAGGCAACAACCTCTGCTCTCGTGTTGGTAAATTCTTTACGGTCTTAAGAAGAAATGCTAAATCACCAGTGACTGCCCGTGCAGAAGACTTCCTCGATGATCAATGGGGGCATTCCGTTGCATCCTGATGCCGTATTGATGCTGAGACAGAATGCAGATGTCGCACTCGGCCTCCACGTTTTTCCGACATGACAACGGCAGATACTAGGTGTGCGGAATGGAGTGCTCTGACAGTTTCATACATCACAGTAAAGCCCCCTGATTGATGTTTGAGAACTGATCAATGCAGAGGAGATAGTTTCAGAGGATGGCATGGCAACAAGCATCTCTCAGGCTGCACATGCTGCAGTGCTGTGCACGCCAGAAACAGTTGTGTGGGAGCTGTTACATAACCACCAGCCAGGGACTGAATAGTTGAGAAGACAGCACGTGTGGTTAGAGAACGTTTTTATTCTCTGTAATAGCACATTTTGCCTTTGAGTATAATCTATTTTAAGACATTTGGTGTAGTTTTTATGTTTGTGGCCTTCTTTCAACATGGCATCAAGTCTCGCTAAACTCCCTTACGATGCCCTGTTTTCAGTTTGTTTTGTTTAGTTTTCCCTAAAAAATCTCCCTCCAGCAAACGATCATTTTTTTCATTTTAGTTGGAAAAGTTTCCATTACATCACCCTGGATCTTTTCCCATTTTCTTTTTCTTCTCCAAGTCCAGATATGCTGCAGTTTGCCACTGTTGCCATTATACTATCAAAAGCCTTTGGAAAAAAATTAATTTAAAAAAATCACATCTCAAACTCTCAAACATAGTTGTCAGCACCCCAAGCCAAATACGGCATAAACAACAACAACATGACAAAACCTATTTAAGTCAAACATGGATTGCACTGAGGAGTGCTGCTCCCATTTTTCTTGACTTCATCCAGTCAATTTCCCAACCTCCAGTTCCCAAGGTGCTGTGGGATGTCAGATCCGTAGCCAAGGGGCACACTCCAGAATGCATGTTCAGCGTCTTTGCCAGGAAGTGGATGTGCCAGTCATGACAAAAAAAACAACAACAAAAAATCCCTGAGACAGCAAGATAATTCAACTTTTGTTTTTTTTTGTGGATGATTGGAAGGCTTCTTATTTCTCTGAGCAACATGAGTATCCGACTGCTGGTTTGGCAGTTTTTAACATGTCCTAGATTTACAGTTTTTTTTTTCTTTCTGCTGATTGTTCATGAATTGTACATCTACCATATGCTCTACAGGTGTAATGTATCGTTTTTTGTCAATCTTGAATTGTTTTGAACCACAACATTCTCCACACTCTGAGGTCCAGGTCAATGTAAAACCGGTATATTTAGATTATTGTTTCTTTGAATTAAATTGAATAATGCAAAAAAAATATTGAGAAAACTTTGGTTCAACTAAACAAAATATGGGGTTCTTTGTGAATATAAGTATATAATTTAACGGAGAACCTGCGTTCTCCTTCTCATGGCCATGAGTAAGAATGTACTCTATTCATGCCAAGAAAAAAAAGAAAAAAAGCATATGTGTCCAACATATTTTCATGTCTGACTGAACTATGTAAAGCTGACATATACAGTAGTACCTAAAGTCCCTCAAAGGCTTTATCTGCTTCCTGATGTGATGAGAGAGGACGTTATACCATTCTAGTTCTAGAAGAATAAACACAAGTCAATGGGTGAAGATTGCACAACATGGCGAGTCCCTTCCATAAACGGCTGTTAATCTCAGAAAGACTGTCAGACCAAATAGAGCATTAAAGACATGTTTCGCAAAAGTGATTTCCGTGGTTGCTCGGAGGTTATTTTTCATTTGTCTGGAACACGTGGTCTCTTTCTCCCTCAGTCCCTCCTGTCTGTGAGCATGTATGTGTGTCACATGCACAGGCTCACACAGTAACACGAACAAACACACCTCACAGATATGCTTTAACCCTTTAAGATAAACTAATAAACTAAATATGACGAATGCGCATATATACGGTGTGAGCACCAAACCAAAACCACCTGTCTGACACCTTCTTTCCTCACGGACACATGCACACGCTTTACTCTGTCTGTCTTAACCTTGAGTTGGTATGAATAGAGAGAGTTCCCACTGCTTTGTGTTTCAACGCTTTTTTTTTTTTTTTACATGCACCCCCGATGTTCCATTTGCTTTAAAGTGAACTTCATCCAATATTGAAGCCTATGTATCTTCTAATCTGAGATCCTGCGGGAGTAAAGTACAACAAGGCAGCTGTGTAAAATGCTAGCTTTATGGACTAACCGCTTCTTCTTCTCTCTTCTCTCATCTCCCCCTTTTTTTTTATGTCCGCCTTCCCCATCTCTCACGGCTGGGTTCCTCATCCCATTTTATCATTCTCATTCCCTCCACTTTTTCTGTCCTCATTTGCCCCTACCCTTGTGCACTTACAGGATTACACGTTGACAATGTACTTCCAGCAGGCCTGGCGAGACAAGCGGTTGTCCTATTCTGAGATCCCGTTCAACCTGACCCTAGATAACCGAGTGGCCGACCAGCTCTGGGTCCCCGACACCTACTTCCTCAACGACAAGAAATCGTTTGTCCACGGCGTCACTGTGAAAAATAGAATGATCCGACTGCACCCAGACGGCACCGTGTTGTATGGTCTAAGGTGAGATTTTTAATCTGCTGAACTCCCACTTCTGACTAAATAGCGAGACCATCGCGTCGTGCATGAGCCTACACAAACGAGAACGGTATATTGTACAGGACTGTCTCAGAAAATTAGAATATGGTGATAAAGTTCTTTATTTTCTGTAATGCAATTAAAAAACATGAAATGTCATACATTCTGGATTCATTACAAATCAACTGAAATATCCCAAGCCTTTTCTTGTTTTAATATCGCTGATTTTGGCTTACAGCTTAAGAAACCCAAATATCCTATCTCAAAATATTAGAATATCGGATTTTTGAGTTTTCTTCAGCAGTACGCCATAATCAGCGATATTAAAACAATAAAAGGCTTGCGATATTTCAGTTGATTTGTAATGAATCCAGAATGTATGACATTTCATGATTTTTAGGTGCATTACAGAAAATAAAGAACTTTATCACCATATTCTAATTTTCTGAGACAGTCCTGTATATGTATATCGATGGACACATCTAGCAATTTGCGCTTTCTATTTTTAAGAGCACCCACAAACAACCAGGGAATAGATGGAGGGAAAAATCTGCAGCTCCAATATAACAATGAGTCAACGATTGCTGAATTGGACCAAGTCAGTAATTAGCTCATTAGAGCCAGATGAAGAAAATTACTGATGTGAAGTGCAATATTGCCCCTGAGCACAAATTACAATGTTGATGACCTACTTGAGGCCTCATTTACAGGATATGTGCACATCACCAAGTGAACCTCTGCAACACCAAATTAAACTCTTTTGTAAAGTCTCCGCATTATAAACCATCCTCTTCCTCAAAATGTGCCCATGTGGCATTTGCCCAGATGAAGTCAGCAATTGCATTCAAAGAATGAACAACCTCTAGAGCCACTGCAAGGGAAAGGTAAAAATGGTATATATGGCAGTTTGGTGGCACGTAAAAAGGAATGTTTTTAGCTCTAACTATGTGCTAAAAACACTCTAATTACACCCTGGCCAAACAATTCTTATTCCAAACTGGGTGATAATTCTTTTAAACCCAACTAGAAACTTATATGTAACCATGATTATGTTAAACAGTAAAAAAATGTCAAAATTGACTGTAACAGAGTTGAGTAAAATGTACACTATGATCAGCACCAACTTTAAGTAGTTAATTATAGTAAAAATTAAAAAACAACAATCGAATGCTCTCTTTTTATAGTAATCTAATTATATCTTTTTAATGTACTATCATTAATTCCAAACGTAGTTTGGAACCCATTGTAAGGAAGTAAATACATATAGATACAACACACAAGGTTAAAGTAACAACATGTATCATTATTTCTCTCATTTCAAACACTGAAATCAAATAAAAGTGTTATTACCATAATGACAATTACAGTGCACATAACAATTACAATTTCACCACAGATGTAGATGAAACAGACATCCACAAAAAATGCTCGCGCAAGTCTGCTAATGTTGCAATTATTTGTATCAGTTGTGTTGAAGCATGGAAACATTTACAACCTGTAGGACAGCAAAGCTCTGGGGCAGGATTTAGAGAGCCTTGAAATGGAGAGTAAACCTTGGCAACAAATCATCCCTCAGTAGAGTTTAATTTCCCCTCCATGCATGTACAACTTTATTTAGACTCTGAGTTAAATGAGTCTCCATACAGTTGTAAATGCCAAATCTGAGTTCACTTATGTAAACTCTGAAATATCATTAACTGGGAACTCTTAACAAACAATGTTTTAGTCAAAATCTAATCAGAAAGTGACTAAATTGAATGTCAACATGTTGTATATGAAATAAATGTCGGTCTTGATCTCACTTGGAGAATTTATGACCTCAAAAATGAAAGACTCGAAGTTACCATTTGATCAGGAAACAGACCTATGGCAATGAGTCAGATGTATTGTAATAACTTCTTTGGAACCATTTACTAAAACATTCCCTAAAAAATGTAGGAACGTCAGTTTGGATAAATGTAGATCCATCCATTTTCTATACCATCCATGGTCTATACTGCTTATTCCTAGGAGGGGGGCTGCAGCCTTTTGTAGCTTTTGTTGGACCAAAGGTGGACTAACCCCAACATCACTATGCTGCCCATTACGAAAACTAGTTTAGTCAAATTCAATATGCAGCTGACTATGGACATAACAAATCCTCATTGGCATGGTCACAACGGTAGGACAGGAAATTTGATTGGTGAAAAACTGCTCTCTCTGAGATTGATTGACCACTCATTTTCACCCTCTCACAGCTAACATGATGACAGAGCGCTCCTCACCCCCTTCGCTGATGTCTCATCAGTTCATTTTCCAAATAGGTCTCTGATGTCTAAACTCAATAAAAAGTACTTATTTAAACTCGCCACGTTTACGTGACCGTCGTGGCAGTGAATCACCTCTGCTGCAAGAGGAGAAATTACACAGAGAAAGAAATAACAAGAGATTGCTATTATGGGAGGTGGTTAGAAAGAAAACTTTATTAAAAATCCACCATTGTTCTCTGTGGACTTCTTTGTTTGTTCTCAATGGTCTGTTACAATGTTCAAAAATGATAATCACTATGGTTTTGATGCACAGTTGAGGGGATGGGAATGAGATGTATGGATGAATGAATGTATGGAGAGAAAAAGAACATTAAAGTATTCTTAAATTGAAGTCAAATAGAATTGTCACGTTGTAGAAATATGCAAAAAAGTTCTTGGAATTGCAGAAAGAGACTTTTATGGTGGAAATCTGTCTTTACTATTTGACGGTGAAAGAAAAAATCACTTAAAACGAGAAAGAGAGTAAAAGCCTTTAACAATAGACACCAGGTAGGATTTTCAACCCCGTAACCACCAATCATCCTGCGATTGAGCTAGATTTACTTCCAAGAAGGCAAAATAAAAAAGGAGCATAAAGAATTAAAGAAAGCGACATGACAATAGAAAGCTTTGATCTGTCTTCGACCAGGAAGGATCATACAATTTTTGAGACAGAAACTCATTCAGGACTTCAGTCATGATGCTGGATGTCAAAAAACAGCTGTAATTGCAGCATCACATGCTGTGTTTCTACATCCCAGTTTAAAGGGGAGCAGCAAGATGCTTCAACCTCTGACTTTGAAATTGACAGGGAAAAAAGAACGCCCAAAACAGCTTCGGTGTGTATAGAATATGTTTTTTTTTTTTTGCATGGATAAGTTGGAATCTGTGTGATAAATATGGCTACACAAGGCTCAGTGCTTTCCCTTTAATCCAAGCAGTACGCTCAAGGATGAGTAATAAAATGTTATGATCAGCCCTCTCAAATAGCACTGGGATGGAACAGGAGAAGCATAATCAGCATTCAAAGAGATCGTTGGTAATTCTCCCAGTGCTGTTTCTGTGATGTGATGTGCTTTAAATCCAGGCTGAAATGCCTAAAACAAGCTATTTTTATATGAATGGATACATACTTGATTGTCAAAAGTATTTTGGGGAACTTTAAAACTAATGGGAAAATCTAAATATACATTTACCGTTTATCTGACAGAGACTGACAATAGTTGGCAGTAAATAATGTGGCCGGAAATACATTTATGTGTCATTAAAGATAAAAGAGTTCTAAACTAATAGGAAACTGTCTGTGAAGAGAATATCATTGGGATATATAATTTTTTTTCTTCCTGTAGCAACCAGTTTTGTTTGAACAAAATATGATCATAAAGAAAGAATGTAAGAATTTATCTCTTCAAACACATCCACATCAGTAATTCAAGACAATATATATATATATATATTTATATATATATATATATATCATGACATGGACATTTTAGAATAATATTCTGGGTGATGTAAGATTGAAACAATGGTTCTCTCCCATGTTGTCAGGTTATTGCAGATGCAAACTGTTCGATCATACGAGGAGGAAGTCATATAGTTTGATATATTATACATAGCATATAAATATATAAAAATATCAGTACTTATACAATAGATAGCCTTTCAATCCAAACATCATGATGTGCATTGGAAGAGGCAGATAGAGAAGAGCGAGATGGCAGGGACATACCCCAGTAGGATGGCTAAAAGATCTTTTAGAATCACCTGAGTTGGCACACCCTGCATAGATTTCCTGAAAAAGGAAATCTATTTGCCTAATCTTGCAAGTAAAAAAGACTGGTTGTTTCTAAAAATATAACTGGAAGCAAATCCCACAAAAGGAGAATCTTATATCTTAAAAAATTACCCTCACAGAGCTTCGGATGGTCCACTGTTTAACTGCCCACTGTCCAATTTCAATTCCCTTTTGACTTGATTTTCTGTTGAAATATACTATAGTCATAGACAAACAAGGCAGTAAACCTTTCGTCGGAAAGCTGCGTGAAGCTGAGTTTTTGTATGAAAAAATAATTGAATTCCACTCATAGAAAATATTCAAATAATTGATTAACTTTCACACATAAAGCTTTGATTTGCATCAACGTACCAACTCATCCCAAGGATCCATTACAGCGGTTGAAAGACAACAAAGTGGTATATAATTAACAAAATGATACCCCAAGTGATCGTTATTATGGTTTTCCATTCTTCATAACCCCTAATATTTAAAAAAAATGTACACTCTTTTTATGCATCTGTTGTGAGGTAAGAGCAGAGAGTCAAGAACGTAATTTCAGGATATTCAGCAAAAGGATGAAAGGAAAGAATAAGTGGTCCAGTCTTTGTTATTCATTTCAGTTAGGTTGCATTGTTTGTTGAAGTCAGGTGGTTTAGCATTGAACAAGATCACTGAATGGAGGCAGCTGCAAGACCGCAAAATGTAGAGCTTTGCTGACAATAAAGACACCAAATTGTCATTAATCAGTGATTAAGCAAGCACTTTCGGTGAATGTCAAAAAGCAATATTTCCCTCATATTGGCCTACTCCCCTATGTTTTCATGGCAGACTGTGTGTGGGAAGCAGCAGGCTGTGGGGGAAGACTGCACACCGAATGCTGTCATTATCTTAAATATCAAATGATGCATTTCTGGTGCTCAGCTCATAGCGTGTCTCTAAATGGAAATGCGGAGGGAGGGAAGTCTTCAGATCCATCACAATAAATATACACTGCGAAAAAAAGAAATCACTGAAGTTTTCAACAGGAGAAAATTCCAAACAGTAGAGCGTTATCAAGCCCTAATACCTGACATAGGCATACATATATCTATATACAGACACATTATTAATATCACAGAATTACACCTTCCCTAAAATATCCCTTCTTAAGGCACAAATTGAATGAAAACGAAGAGTCTATTTTTAGTGACTCTTTAATTAGAAAATTAGACCGAGCTTCTCTCCAGTTAACAGAAATCTGCCTCCTGGATCCCGCTGGCTGCTGGAAATCCTTAAGGCCACTCGGCTTTGATTTGACCGTGCATGCTTGATTCTTCCAGTAAGAGAATCATTGAAAACAATCTAGTGTGGAGCATGTTCTCCCTGTGTCTTTTTGGTTCTCTCCGGGTACTCCAGCTTACTCCCACCGTTAAAATGAATGCATGTCTGGTTAATTGGACACTCCGAATTTCCCCTTGGAGTGAATGTGAGTGTGTGGGATTGTTTGTCTGTATGTGGCCCCGCGATGGACTGGTTACTCTCGCTCCTTGTCAGTTTGGATAGGGAAATATGCATTTGTCTGCATTTTCCTTTATGTCATCAGTTGATATGCAAATGGATATATAGCCCCTTTTGATCTTTCATCTCATCGTACCATGTAAAGTCAGACAGAGCTGATTTGTGGAACTTCAGGAGTTGGAGATGAAAGTTCGGCTCCAGTTCAGCCCTTTGTATGGAGGGGGTTATATCATTTACTTTTATCGTCTTAACTAATAAATATGAATAACATTTGCACCTAAAATGAAAACAAAACATTGGGAATTTTATTTCACTGCATGGTAATTGATGCGATCTCTGAAAATGATGGTTGGTATACATTTTGTCACTAACTATATTTAATTCATCACCATCATGCTCTAACCTGCGTCCTTACTTCTGCATGTTGCAGTTATACCAGAGGTTAATAAACTAAGATACCAAACAACTGCTCCAGACTCTTTTCTTATTGTTTATTTATTAAAAGCAAACTAACACAGGAGTAAAGTTAAGAAAGTCAGCCAGATCTGACAGAGGAGCTTGTGAGTAGTTGAGCTCAAACTTACCGGTACATTCACAGAAATATAAATGGAACTTATGGTTCAAGAATGACACAACTCTTAAAAATGTTGTAATTCTTATGTGACTTTAAGTATCTGATATGTGAGATTAGCGTAAACAACATCCAAAAACACCTCTATTTCTTATATTATTATCAGAGGTAGAATTTTAGAGGTAGAATAACCATACAAAATAAGCAATATCCCTTGATTTGTGAAATCAAGATGTCATCTGCTTGAAGCAGGCTCCCCTTCATCCCACACACGTCATAACAACATGACAGGCAGTCGTCAGAGTGCAAACACCACCACGTTTATCTCTGGCCTGCCACCGCACTGCTGTCCCACAGAGTTTGATCCCTGCAGTGACTCACATCTCAGGTGGCTGCCAAACAGAGGACCTGTAAGGATTAACAATAGGGAAACTGGGACAGAGGGATCACATATGGCAGTGTAATCATCTGTGGGGGCTCTGTCACTATCGGCGCCACCCATAATGCTCAAAAGCTGTGTTGCTTTTCTTGAAGTGGTTTTGTGGCAAAATATGTATACATATATATATACAATCTTGCAGAATATGACATTTTTAACTTAAATCTTAGGTTCAGTGACAGCTTTTCTGTGAAAATCACTGAGAAAGCAGCTGATTTTATTCTCAAGGATAATTAAGCTTTATGAACAATGGACAAGAATCACAAATAAAGAAATAATGAATGAATGAATGAATGAAATTCTTGCCTATATCTTTTTTGTTTTTTTTGGGATGTGCACCATGTTCTGGAATGGAAACAGTGTCTGCTCACTGTGTATGAGAGTGAAAACATTTTATTCTTCTTACATTGCTGTCAGACAATTACTGTGATCACATGGGGCTGCACTCACCAAATGACAGTATTGTGACAAAGACCAGAAGGTTTCATTTCCACAGGCTAAGCCCAACAGACGGGTGTCTTGTTTCAAGTGGTTGTTTCCGTCTGACCTCCAAAAGGGATCTCATGCTTAGTTTTTTCCCAGCTCCCCGTCCCTCATTACCACCGAGGATAGCAAAATGTCTTCAAACCACCAAACATCTGTCTCAAGCCATCGCCCTATACACCATTGCAGACATTTCCCGACGTGGCAGCTGTGATGAACTGAACTTATGCTTATCCCATGCTTCTGTTTTCAGGATTACCACTACAGCCGCGTGCATGATGGATCTGAGAAGATACCCGCTAGATGAGCAAAACTGCACACTTGAGATAGAGAGTTGTAAGTAATCTTGCTATTCTTGATATTTTCTACTGAATCCATCTTCTTTTTTTTTACTTAACAAATTACGATGTCAAAGATAAGACAAATACGTCCATCTAAGAGTGTCCCATGGTGGCCTAAATAAAGAATGAAGCTTTGTGTAGATAGCTGTCATTACTACAGGTAGCAAAGCTTGAACTCTTCAGAGCTTCAACAGGTTTCAACATCTATATTCAAGTATTTTCTCCATTGAGGCAAGATTTTTTTTTTCTTTTTTTCCTTTTCTAAATGGATCCTCAGCTGGGTTTCCTTTTGAAAAGAGTGAATAATGTCACATCAAAGAAATACTGTACCTGATACTTTTTTACCAGTATTCAGTCCTCACACTAGTTACCTGGAGAGGTTCTGTTAGTGTTAGTCCAAGTCAGATGTAGATCTTTCCATGAATAAACCTGGATGTGAATGGGGTTGGATGTGGGGGAAACAATTTACCTCATATCAGCTATTCTTTCTTTGCTATTTAATTATTTATTGATCATCATCATACCAAGCTGTTTATAGGTAGACATATTTTGCATCATGATCTATCACACAGTGGACATCCAAGTGGCAAAATGCTGCTCAACAGCCAAATGTTCCTGAACTCTTACAAAAGAGAGAAAATAATAGCAAAATACGCGGGGTGACCTTAACATTAATCTACCATCGTGAGCAAAATCAACTTTGCCTCTAGACAAAAAAGGTCAAACTTGAAAAAAGCTTCAGCCCGAACTCAGCTGGATAATGGTAAATGCATCTGAAGTCGTGTATTTTCTCTTGTTGAAATGACTCAAAGGGGGCTACATTTATTTCCGCAGCTGAGCTGGAGGGCCTGCAGCTGGTGCTGCTGTACAAAGGGAATTGGAGCATAAAGGAGCAAAAAGAGGATGTTTAAGTTTTTTTTTCTATGAAATGGAGATCACAGCAAAGGAAGTTTAGAAGAAAAAAGGCAAGTTTAGGAAAGACACGAAACTTCAAGGATTCTGCTTGTACAGTGGTGATATTCCCATCTCTTTGATTGAAAATCCAACTCATACCATGGTAGCTTTGTTTTAGAAGTTAGAAAGTCTGTGTTGTCTTGATTATGCTATCTGTTCTGCTCTTTGTGCAAAACTTAGGGTATACGTAGCTCAATGGGTAGGCATCAAACTTTTCTTTATCCACACACAGATCAATAGTCCAACAGCAGACTGTACGGTTACAGTAATTCATGTGTATCTGTTTTCTGTTTGGTCCATGATTGAACAAAACCCTCTGCTTACAACTCAAATTGTCATCCAGCTTAATTTCATTTACACATCGATGTATTCCTCCACGCGCAAAATTAGGCATTATCTTCTCACAACACAACAATGGTGTTATGCCATCAAATATATGAAGCTGTGTTAATTAGTTTCAAGAGTAATTTTTCCCCCCCTTTTCTTCCCGCAAGCACATTTAAGGGTGTGTTTTTTTTTCCTTACTTTTTTTGTCAAAATTCTCCTTTTGTGGACACAGGTTTTAACCAGCCCAGCATGAGGCCCTACACTCTATGTGTGTTCTGCATTAAAGAGAGGAAAAAAGAAAAAACAAGGATTGACACAGTAGCAAATGGGCTCCTTAGGCCGAAAATATTTGTGGAGAAAACCCAAAAAATCTGTTCTCCTGTTAGCTTGAAAAGGAGAAGCAAAGACAGCAAAATCGGGCCGTCCTCTGTTCTGTAGTTTCTTATGCAAAGCATTAAATGACACATCTCTATCATTTCCCCATCAGACAGTCTTTTCATCAGTCCAATTTCTTATGATGAAGTGTTTCAGCCAACCTTAAAATCAGGAACCATTGTTGGCGATGGCCTGCCTTACCTCAGCTTTGTTTTTGTCGGATAGCGTAGCATTGCTAACGTTTCATCTCCCGTGTCACGCCTCGTGTTTTTTAACTGCTCGTTTTTTGAGCCGGGCTCAGCTTATAACGTATGCATTCGATGGGCAGACAGAGAGAGGGAAGCTGTTTACAAATGAGTTTGCCTCACGGCCCGGTTATTTATCAGTACCCCGAGCACATATCCATCTCTTTCAATTTTGCTAACAGGCTTTTTCCCGCTGAACTTAAAAGACGTTGGCTCGTGAATAGCAGCTGCGGCTGCCCCGCATGTGAGCATTGACATGGTTATGTATGTATGCATGCACATCACACGCTCCTGGAAAATGCAATGTGCCTTGAAAATGAAAAAAAAAAAATACAAAGACAGATTCACACGTTTTT